GATTTGGGATTAGTGTAAAATAATATAAGTATTCTTAAAAATTTGAAGCTCTTGAGAGTTGTCAAATATTTTGATAACTCTCGTTTTGAATTAAATTTTGCATCGAATACGGATTTGTAAATTATGACAAAATTTTGACAATATCAAACCACCCACAGGCAATAACAATTTAACACTTATATAATCATTAATTACAAAATAGCATTCAGATGAAAGGGAAAGAAACAAATTCCAGTAAATAATTGAATTAAGATAAATTATACAACATATGTATGTACAATGAAGTGGTCCATTATAGACAAAAAAAAAAATAATAAATGAAAAAGTGCTACCAAAAATTTATTCAAATGAAACACTTAAAATTAAATAAAAAATGAAGTTTGAACATTAACAAAATGATAAACAAAATAATAATAAAAAAAAAAATTAATAAAATTTATTTTAATGTGGAAAAATGTTGCCAACACATCAGCGCAACTGATTTTTACGTCACCAATCTGAAGTCGTACGCGCGGTCACATTTACTCGTAAAATTGGTGCACTTCAAAACCCATAAAACCCAGAGTGCACCTCTGAGATCGTGTATAGTAACACCAACACAAGTGACACACAGTGTGCGCTCATACAGATATCGATGAGATACAATGGAAATTGCAAGCAACAATGACAGCATGAAGTATGCTAAGCTTCCACGCGACGCAGATAAAAATGATTAAATGAAACAAAAGGAAAAAATCACAAATAATAATAAAACAATCAAACAACTTCTTGAATTGTTTATTACGCAATTTTCAACTTTTTTCTATAAGTAAAATTTATTTTGTATCTATTTTTTTGTTTATAATCATTTTGTTTTATAATTTTGTAGCCTTTTTTTTTTGGCTCTGAAATTGGGTCAAAAGAGGCAAGTTGGCTTTTTCAATTGAAGCAAAAATAAAACAAAAAAAAATTAAAAAAAAAAAACGTGAACATCTGAACCTTTACTGGGCCAAATAAAAACACTTCCCAGTTCATTGTCACTGATGTAGCTGTTGCCCTTCAAACCCATCCATTCATAGCGCTATATTTGTATCTATAATCACATGAAGAATGCACTTCACGTTACCACTTAATGCACTTCAAACATCTTTTTTTTCTCTTTAAGTTAACATTTTTTTTTGTTTTTCCTTCTAATTGAAACAGCTCTAGTCTTGAGTTTATTCATTAGCGCTTCAAAACTATATTTAATCACGATTTCTTACAATTTTACAAAAAGATACATAGATACATAACTTGATGTGTCACTGCTTGGTGCGATTTTGCCCGAAGCTGTTTTTTGAGATGCTTTGCTCTGCTTTTAAAATTATTTAATAAATTGTTACAATTGTCGGCAATTAAGCTTGTTTTGGGATTAAATAAACATTTGAAGCTCAAGGATTATTGTAAGGTAAATAATATATGCAAATTGTTTTTAAGAAATACTCACATGCAAAATGAAAGTGAAATACAAATTGGGATTCACAAATTGGAGTATTACGTCTACTGTTATCTAACCTGAAGTCAGTCATGGTAATACAAATTTAAAATGAAGTATTGAAATCTACATAATAATGAAATTAAATCAAAATTACATATTTAAAACTTTATTTATTAACTTGTATTGTGGTTATATTAAATTTTTAATAATCAATTCTTAAGATCCTAGCAGCTCATAGTGGCTGCCATATAAAACGCAGTGAATCAATACCCCCATTCAGCTTTTTGACAGGCTTAAGTATCCTTGTGTTGTGTTAGTTCCTCGACATAACTTCAACTCGCACGTTGTTTATGCCATTCCAGATCCCTGGTTGTGTCCCCCTTCATCTCAACCAACCAAGTACTCTTCCTACCCGCCTCTTGCAAGTCATGCGAACCAAGTACTCTTCCTACCCGCCTCTTGCAAGTTATGCGATAAATGGGATTCTAATGCACTCATTATTCCACTCCGTAACCTTAGCTGTCGCACAACTCTTGTAACTTATTTAACCCAACCATACCCAACCATCCCCTTCTTATACTTTCTGACCACCTATGCCACGAACATGCTTTCGGGCTTTAATAAACTTAGACCTACAATCTCTTGACTACATCTCTTCACCTTAATTACTGAAATGATTTTTCTATATTGCAGTGAAAATCTTCTTCATTCATTCCTAAGAGGTGGTTTTAGTGGGTTTAAGTTTTACACTGTGGTTGTTCATGTTTTCCATGTACTATAGGCAAAAACAAAAAAAACGCTGTGGGTTTACGGCTTAAAACACTTTTAATTTTTTATAGGAATATACATTAAAATCTTTCGAATCATCGATATAAATTAACATATAATAATAAACTGCTTTAGTGTGAATTAGTATAACTGTCAAGCCAAAAAGCTATTTCGTGATCACAACTACAATCAGGTGGCCCTCCTCAGTAAATGAGCTGAGGCCGTTGGTAAGTTATCTGACTGGCCACTTTAGGTTGTGTTATCATCTTAACAAGATTGGACTGTTATAGGAAATAGAATATCGACTCTGTTTGGTGGTAGATAAGATTTCTAGAAACTTTCTGACCGGGTGGATTTGATTTAAGCTAGGAGGAGAATGATACGCCGAAAGCTCTAATTGTCATTAATAATGAAATATGTTAAAAGGTGACATGTTGGCTGATATTCGAACAGTCGTGGGTCTTCTATTTAGTTGGGGTCAGATAGTAGCAGCAATTATGTGGCATAGTAATAATATTCCGCTCTTTTGAGAGTCTGTGTATTGTGAAATTCTTTTCTACTATAAATTGTTAAATATTGGAATGAGACTACTTTGCTTTGCTTACCTTTACTTTGCACAATGGGTCAGATAGTAGCATTAATTATGTGGCATAGTAGTAGCTCTCTGTTCTGTTGAGAATCTGTGTATTGTTAAATTCTTTTTTATATTGACATAATCAAAATGTTTTCCAACTTTTCATTGCTGATACGATTAAATTCGTAACAATATTATTAAATTTTAAGATCGGAATGGAACTAGTTTGATATATAACATCGTATACAGAATTACATACAAGAGTAATATAAGGAAGTTTTTAAAAACTCATTCAAAGTTTCTATGAAAATATTTTATTAAAAAACATTATTTATTAGGTGTACCGGTATGAAATGAGCGTTTTTGGTGAAAATAAAACACTAATTATTAATAGGAAAGTAAAAAACATTTTATTCAAAGTATTGGCCATTGCTTTCTACACATTTTGACCACCTTTCTGGCAATTTGTGGATACACGCCAAAAAATTGTTCGTCTTTTAAAGCAAACCAACCAGACACCCAATTTTCGACCTCCTCGTAGGAATCAAAGTGCTGCTCAACCAATGCGTGTCCCGTCGATGAAAACAAATGGTAGTCGGAAGGAGCCAAGTCTGGTGAATACGGCGGGTGGGGTAGCAGCTCCCAGTCAAGTGTTTTGATTGCATCCTAAACCCGTTTTGCTTTGTGTGCAGGTGCATTGTCATGGAGCAGAATTACCTTGCCTTGTCTTCTGGCCCATTCTGATCGTTTCTCGATCACCTGGTATATCTAGTGTAAGTTGGGTCTATACTTTAATGTAGTATAAAACACAAATCTATTCTTGTTACCATCACTAATAAAAGATTATCTATCAACAAAACACTATGTAAAAAACGTTCTTATTAATATTATCATACTTGTATAAATCTTTGCGTATTCTAAGATTTTAAAGAAATCATCGACATTGTTGTTAAAGTAATTAGTAATATTGGGCATTCAATATTATTGTATTATTTATCCTTTTAACAATATTAGGACTGGCAATTTTGTGTTGATAGCTGGTGTCTGCCAGGTGTCATGTATCGATCCGAGCATCTAAATTTGATTTGTTAAAATGCAATTTTTTCGTTATGATTTAAAAAATAAATATAAATAAATAAATATTTTTTATACTAAAAATTTGGATATTAAAAAAATTTTATTTAATTTATTATTTAATGATTTTAATTCAAGAAATCCCAGTTATAGTTTGCTTCACCTGCACGTATTCGTTTTTGTACGTAAATTAAGTGAATTCTGAATAAACGGAATTCGATGAGCGCTTTCTTGTGTAGGTCACTTTCGATTTTGTTTCAAGTGGAAATTATCCACAATCAAACTCATCAACCATCAACCATCAAAAAAAAAATAAAAAATAAAATTGAAACAATAAAACATCAACAGCGACCAACAAAAACGATACATTTGACCATAACAACCAGACTATGAGTAACAATAGCAACTGTTTAAGAGAGCTCCAATTTGGAAACGTCATTTAACACTCCAATGAAGGTTGTACGAGTCGTGGTGGAGACTTAAGTGCCCTAAAAGTATCTCAAAACAAAAAAATATATCTTGGTAGTTGAAAGATTGCAACTACATTGGCAGCAAGCAGATACGAATGGTTTCGTTGCTATACTTTGGCTGCACTCACTTAGCTCACAATTTCTGCTGGCACTGAAGCCTTCTTCGGACCAACTCTAATTGATTGTCAAAAACTGCTGAATCCATTGTAAAAACCAATACAAAGCATTAATGAAGAGACAAGTAATTCAATAAAAAATAATCAAATGAAATAAACTAAGATACGAATGTACAGTTGTTCAGATCTTGGCTCTCTTTGGTTATTTGAGAGATTTGGCTCTTATTAAAAATTGATTTTATTAAAGTTAAATTAAAAGTATTTTTATTTTGTTCGGAAGATACAATTTTTGGGAGTAAGTCTATGTGAAGTTAATTTAACAAAAAATCAAAAAAAAAAAAACAAAAAAATTATCTTAAATTGAAGCGTCAAGCATTACTAAATGCCAAGCAATGTTCGATTCATATAAATGCGTGATGGTTCGCTTGGTTTGGTATCAGTTCGAAATTTGCTCTTCTTAATTAAGTTTACAATTCACGTGAACCGAACTTTTAAGTGGATATAAGTTGTAAAAAGGATTCGGAGGATTTATTTGGCATAAGATGCGTACATTCATTTTAGTGACTTGTTTGGCCGTTGCCGCTGTGGCACGTCCCGAAGCAGGATATACATATAATGCTATACAACAACAGCATCAATTGGGATTACCACAGAATGGTAGGTTGACTGGTGGACACATAATGGAATAAAAGTGTTATTAGTAGTGAATGTGAAAAATGGAAATAATTAAAGTTTAATGATGAAAAAAGTTTTTATAAGTAGAAGAAGAAAAAAACTGTCAAGTGCTGTGATGTGTCTCAGTAATTGTTGAAAAAATATTTCAATTTAAATGACAATTTTCGTTATTTTTGAAAAGATTTATGTACAAAAAGTTTTATTTAAATTGTAATCTATATTGTAATCTTATTATAACATAGTTATTTCAATCAAATAGTTTCAGAAGAAACACTGAATTAATTAACTGAAGTTGTTTTAAAATTATTTTTAAAGTACTATAGTTTTAGGTAAAATGTATATTAAAAAAGTTTTTTATTTAACTAAAATTGAAAACAAATTAAGATAACGACTATTAATAGTAGCCTTATTTGTTTAGAAAAATATTTTACTTAAAGAAATTTTTTAATAAAAAAGTCTAATAACGAAAGTTAATACTTAACGTCGTCTGAAATAGAAAGCGATTAATGGATTTAACTTTCAAAAGTAAAATACTTTTCTTTGAAAATCAATATATGATAACCATCAACACCTCATCATCAGTATCAGCATCAACATTCTTATAACCTTTACCTTCCATCTGACTAAAGAAAGGTTTTCCAAAAATCTTGGTTTTATATTACATTAGGTAAATATTAATATTGTTAAATTTATCTTCTGAAATGAGGTGTAGCTGAAGTCAATAGTTAGCATAGTCTAAACTTAGTCTGAAATAGAAATATATAAATGAATGTATTCCTAAAAACTTTTAGATCATTTTAGAACTTTTATAATCATCATTAATTTCTGTTATTAACATTAAGATTTTATGAAAAGAGCGATTAGCGAAAGTTTTAACTTACCATAGTCTGATATGGAAATACGAGATGATCTAATCATTTAACTTCCTTTTAACGTCTTTCAACTTCTGCCGAAACATAGGGCAGGATAAACTAGGTGAAAACTAGGTAGCAAATAATGTTGTGAAAGTTGTTTTTGTTAGAAGTAATATCAATAAAGTTCCAGACAAAATAATTAGATAAGTGATTAGGAGGAAATTAGGCGAAAATTTGCAAGATTTTATTAATTAGTATAAATTGTGCCCTTTGAGACATTAGTACTGATAACAATAATTTTTAAGTAATTAAATATTTTATTTCTAAACATTTATTTACTAAATTTTATTTTAATTTGATTCGAGTTGTTGACTTTAAACATATATAGCTGAAAGTCCATTACAATCAATACGATGAGCATAACTAGGAACCTGAATTTTTTAAAATTGTTTTTAATTTATTCAGTTTTTATTCAATTTTTATTCAGTTTTTATTCAATTTTTATTCAGTTTTAATTCAATTTTTATTCAGTTTTAATTCAATTTTTATTTAATTTTAAGTTAAAATTTATTCAGTTTTTATTTAATTCTTAATAAATTTAATTTATTTAGTCCATTTTTTTTAAATATATTTAGTTTTCATTAAATTTTTATTTGATTAAATAAAATTTCATTAAATTTCTATTTAATATTTATTTAATTTTTATTCAGTTTTTATTCAGTTTTAATTCAATTTTTATTCAATTTTTATTCAATTTTTATTTAGTTTTTATTCAATTTTTTTTGTTTTTATTCAATTTTTTTTAATTATTGATAAATTTATTAATTTTTTATTGGTTGTTTTTCAATACATTCAAATTTAAATCCATTTTTTTCAATTTATTTAGTTTCTTTAAATTTTTATTCTACTTTTATTTAATTTTTATTAAAATTTTATTTAATTTATTTAAACTTTATACTTTGAATCAAATAATTTCACTCAACTTAATTAATTATATATGTGGTAACTTTTATTTTTATTTTTCTTTAGTACTTTTCAAATGTATTTATAACATTTTTATAGCAAAATGCTAATTTAATCATAATTTAGAAAGTAGATTACATTATTCCGAAAGATCTCCTCACTCCTTGTCACATGATTAATAAAATTTACAATCATTATTGAAAAATTATGACACAAATACTCCTTAGAAGTATTTTTTTTTTGACCTTATTGATTCCAATATTTCATTATTTATTAATAGCTCACCTACTTCAGCCCTTGGTACATCAACAATTACCACAAGAGCAGGAATTTGCTACATTTGGAGTACCACAAATGAGTTATAATGCACCAACTGTTAACGCTGCACCACTCTTAACAAACCCAAACGAACAATTATCCTCACCAATTGTACCAGAGGATCCTGCCATATCACAAGCTTTACCAGTACAACAAGATTCCTATAATATGGCTTATCAACACTCCTCCCTGCCACATGAAAGTGGTTATGCCTATCAGCCAGCACCAACAAAAGTACATAAACATATCTATGTACATGTGCCACCAAAAGATTTTGAAGAAGAAGATGCCATTGAAACACGTGTACACCATCAAGTTGGACCCAAACAGAAGCACTATAAAATTGTATTCATAAAGGCACCATCAGCACCAGCTATACGTGCACCAATTGTAGCACCACCACCACAAAACGAAGAAAAGACACTCATCTATGTATTGCATAAGAAACCAGAAGCCGCACAAGATATTATCATACCCACTGCTGCACCAACTAAACCATCCAAACCAGAAGTATACTTCATTAAATACAAGACCAAGAAAGAGGAGGCACCAGTTTATGGTCCACCACCAGTTGCTATAGAAATGGATCCACGCAATGCTGATTCAGCTATCAATGCAGCACCAGCTGTTGAAGATTTTGCACCTATGGAAAATGTTGAGTTATCTGCACCCTTAACAACACTTCAACCAGCTGTAGATGAACCACAGCCACAACAGTTTGTTAGTGAGTTACCAGCTGGTGTTTATGGTGCACCCACAGCTTCTGCCTTAACCAATGATGAAATACAATCTACAGTGACTTTGCCAAATAATCAATATTTGGCACCAGAATCAACACAAGCTGTGATTGCCACTGAAGCGCCACATGTCCCAGCGACCAATTATGGTCCACCAACAAGATTTTTCATAAAGAAACGCAAATAAATTATTTGTGTAGATTTTTTACAGGATCTTTAAAAAATTGTTCTAATTAGTCATTGTGTATATGTTCACGTTTCACATGATGTTCACGAGGTGTTCACATCATGCATCAGCAACTGCATCTGCACCACATTAAACAGCACTTTTTCGTTGCGGACCATATTGAGAGGTTTTTTTGTTTATTTTGTTTTCATTTAATTTGTGCTGTATTTCATTTTTATTTTTTATATTTTAGTGTATAAACGAATTTGTTATGTAATATATAAAAAAATATACCAAAAAAAAACAAATTGAGTTTTTTCTCTTTTACCCTAAAATAGTTCACATTCACTTTTCGCAGAATTCCCTTTGAAGTCGAAACTCCTCATTTCCGACCAACATTTCAGTTGCAGTGGTTTTTTTGACTTGTTGTCATAAAAGTAGCGGTTTAACGTTGCCGTGCTGCTGCTTTGTTAACAGCACTATCAACAACAACGTCAGCGATATCAGCGATATCATCGACAACATCAACAACATCGCCAGTCAGCAACAAAATCAGCCACGAAGTTAACAATCAGCAATTATTTGCAAATTAAATGGAAACCACTTCACGGCATTTGTTTAATGCGAATATTTTTCGGTTAAATGCGTTTAACTTGCTCACGAGTTGGTAAAATTAGTAATAAACATTGACCTTCATTCCGGCATTAACGGCTCAAATTTACAACTCGATGAAGTTGCACGTATCTTTAAACGACTTTGACCAAAGCATCAAAAAGATGCGTTTACCTGTCATACCTTCGCACACTTTTAATTGGTCATAAAGTGTTAAACGTTTAACTGAACTCTACGGCTTAGCGATGACTCTTCGTTGTGCACCACAAGATACTTATTAAAATTTAACGGAATTATGAAGGTTTTAATAATTAAAAGAGCCTACAATAGCTCTCACCAAAGGGAGAGTAATGAAATAAAAAAGAATTGTTAATTGTATATAGTGAATATTCTGCAAAAACTTTTCTGAGGTGAAAAGTATCAAAACCCAGAAATGAATAGAGATGATACTCATAGCAATGTGAAAACCTTATTCCAGTAATTAGAGAGAGAGAGAGAGAGATTTTTTTTTGCAGTAGGTGTAAAGCATCAAAAGCCACAGTGTGAGACTTGAATCCACTAAAACTACCTATTAGATATGAATAGAGATGATTTCCATAGCAATGTGGAAACTTTATTCCAGTAATCAGAGAGAGAGAGAGAGGGACAGAGAGAGAGAGAGATTTTTTTTTGCAGTAGGTGTAAAGCATCAAAAGTCACAGTGTAAGAATTGAACCAACTAAAACCACCTCTTAGGAATGAATGGAGAAGATTTCCACTGCAATGTGGAAACTTCGTTCCAGTAAACATGGCAGAGAAAAGAGAGTAAATTGACTTAATACCTAGTGAAGTAGGTTTATCTAAGTCAGAAAGTAAGGGCATGAACTAAGTAGAATGCGAAATATTAAATGGGGTGGGGTTATGGCTAATTAGAGGGGGTGAGGCCAATGATACACTTTGTGACTGGGGTCACAAGAGACTCAATACCTAATGGACTATGTTTACTTAAGTTAGAAAGCATGGTCGTGGCACACACAGGAGATGATGGAGAGTTGGGGGAAGGGGCAGGGCTACTGCGGGAGCCTAGTGATGGCATTCGAATCACGCTTATCGTAGTACAGCGACAGGTATTGGGAGGATTTAAAAAGCATAATTTGAAGAGGTCTACAGGGAGGCTGAAAATTATGAGTTAGATGAAATTTTGAAAATTGTTTGCAAAAAAAATTTTTTTTTAAATATTGAAAGTGCCTATAAGAAGCATAATATCATTAAACATGAGATTCATAGAGTAAGTCGTAGAATTTAGTTGTATGTAAAATGTTAGTATGTTTAAAAAAATAAATAAATATGTTTTAAAATATATATGGTAGAGTCGAAAACTCTAAAAAGAGCGGATGTCGTATGAGTGCCTTGTAAAAGTCGCATTAACGAAGAAACACTCAAAGAAAAGACCTTCAGGCGGACTGTAGGAACACTGAAGTAAATGTTAGAGATAAGGAATTGTAGACAAATTGCATTAAGCGAAACTTAATACTAATCAATATAAATAACGTAATAGAAAACTCCGGATCAATTGCTACAAATCGAATTATACTTGAACCCTAGTAAAACTGAAAAAAGAACTAATAATAAATTTTCGTTTAGTTAAAATTTGTTTGTAAGATATAGTAGTTGGCATGTTTCGTTTGTTTTGAGTGTTCATAATTTGCAGACAAATGTCAGAAATGGTCTAAATAGACATTTTTACATACGGATTATTTTTTGTCTTGATAAGATTTTAGATTTAAAAAGTTTTATGTCTTCTTTTGAATTCAGTACCATTTCAAGGTATTTGAATCTTGTGACCGTTAGTATTGTCAACATTGAACTGATTACTACAGACTCTGGATTTTGATCATAACATATATTTTGTTTTTTAATGATTAAATTTTTAGCCCGATTTTTGCAGTGACTTTCTCAAGTTTTCTGCACGACGATCTTAAAGCCTTGGGGCTTCTGGTTATTATAGTAATATCGTCGGCGTGTCACAAAATTGGATAGATTAAATACAATTTATATATTGGTTAGATTCAACATATATATTCAGAAACAATTTATTATAAAAACAACAGTTTGATTAACACTTAGAACGTGCATAACATTAGAAAGCTGATGGATTCATTATTGTATTCTCAGTACGCTCAGGTTTTTCTATTTACCTATTATTCATAGAGATGAGCCTGTTTTTCTTTAAAATCTAATGTAAAACTTTTAAACTCACAAATGTTAATTTTACGTTGATTAATGGTAATTAGAAAAATGAAGTCTAAACTTAAATTTTATATAATATAAATAATATTAATATTCATAACCCAGTTTTGAGTCCTATACTCACTCAAAGTTCATTCTTTTAGTACACATGAGTTCAATTTATACCTCTGACTTCAAATTAATGAATGCATGATATATTGAAATAATTAAATTTTATTGTCAACTATAATTTTTAAAGAACTAAAAGAAATTTATATTTAAACTATTTAAACACATCTATTGAGTCGAAGAAAGTTAACAGGCCAATTATTACATTGAAAAGAACATGAGAACAAATTATTTACGATAAGGTTTACATTTCTTACGATCTTCGTATGCGGAGGACATCATTTTTAATTGATATTTTTGCTTATCATTAAATGGAATTGGTGGAAATAAACTAACCGCCTCTGGAGAATTAGTCGTCCTTGCTGCGCTAGCAGCGCTCTTAACATCATCATGAAGTTGTTTTAAATCTGCAACAAGTTCCGATTCCTCTTCTTCAGAATTATAATAAAGATCAGTGGATGTATTTTCACAACGTCTTGGATTTGATTTTGGAAATTCACAATAATTAATAATGGAGGGAGTTGTAGGAAAATTCCATTTTTCATAAATTTCTTTTGGAATATGTGTGTTAGGATTTCTAGTATCTTCCGCGTTTATGTGAACAACTTTGTGACAGCTTTTCGTTGCCAATTCTGCTGGCGATGGCATAGGAAACTGTGACACTGTTGGTTTAGTAGGTATATGCGCTAATTTAGGTTCTACCACTGATGCTGTTGATAATTGTTCTGAAGTTGATGTAAGCTCTTCTACGCACAATGTTGGTGAAGAAGGACTCGCCAATAGCAACTCTTCTGCGTGTGATGTTGATCCTAATGAAGCTTCTCTCAATGGAATCTTTTCGAATAGGTTTTCTAGTACTTTTGGTACATTAAGTGAAGCCGCGTTTGTTCGTAACTTTGGAAGTTTGAATGGAAGCTTTTTCATAAACCCTGTTGGCGATTGTTGTGCTTCTTGAAGTGTCCTCACTGTTTTTGTAAGTAACAAATCTTTTGTTGGTGAAGCAAAAAATTGATTCTTAGTTGCTGGTTCCTCTAAAGGATGATCGAGCGCTGATTTTACCCTTGAAATTTTCGCATGCTGCGAAAATTTATGTGGCACTGCTCTAAAGCGAATATCTTTTATTTCGTCAACAGATAGCGATAGTCTATTAGAGTTATTGACTGGCTCTGATGGAGGCGTTGTTTTCCCTATCGGTGCATCATCTAAATGATATTCTGGTGAAACTGATGTTTCCAATAAAGGCGTTGGATGTAAGTATGGTGCGGATGAAAACGGAATCTCTTCATACTCTACTCCTGGATTTAATGAATTTGCCGTCGCTTGATGTTGTGACATTTGTTGCGGACGTAAATGTTGTGTACCCCTAAATTGGGTAGCTGAATATTGTAACGCTGCATATTGCGCACTTAAGTATTGTTGCGAAGCATATTGTGTGGCTGGATTATACATCCCTGCGTATGGTGTTGCAGATAGGGGTATTGCTAAAAATTGTTGTACTGGCAGTTGCCCAGTTCTATATGGCGCTCTTCCTCTTATCGGGCTGAACGGCAGCAAGTTCAGTGGGATTGTATTTGGTTGTAGCCACCTTAGTGATGCTCTTGGAAGAGCAGTCATTGGATATGGCATTGCAATTGTTGGTATAGTTTGAAATGGTGTTGGAGTTCGCAATGTTTGCTGTTGTGCAGCCGGATTTGATAAGGGGGCTGCTACGTGCGGTGCTGCTGCGTGTGGTGTTGTGTTCAAGTTTGATAATACAGACAATGTTGGCATCGATAAGTGCGTACTTTTTAATGGTTCGCTTACTGTTGATGTTTCAACGGACGGCTGTTGAAGGTGTTCCTCTGTTAATAATACAGCTGGCAAAGTCGATAGTGTAGCTTCTGTTTTCAGTTTCTCTGATCCCGGTACTGTTAATAAACATTGCTGCAGATCTCGTAGTTGCTGTTGTTGTTTATGTTTCTTGTCTTGTTCTGCAGCTTTACTCTTTTCATTTGCTGCCAATCTCCCTGCCAGTGCTGCCTCCTCTTGTTCTTTCTTCATCTTTCGCTTCATCTGTTTTTGCGTTAGTTTTGGACTCATTTTCGCTAGTTAGTGTATTAACCTATATATGTAAAAACTTTCCTTAGTTTACTTTAATACTCGTATAATACAAGCATTTCATACATACCTTTTCAACTTTCCAATAGTGTTAAATAGTGTTTTAAATTTTGAGCCAAAACAGCTACGGAGATATATGTACTTAAATAAATAAACAAAATAAACGTAATAATTTTTTCAGATAAAATTAAAATTTTTTTAATGTTAAAAAATTTTTTTTTTAATAAATAGATTCACATTTATGAAAAGACTCAAGAATATATGTTTTTATGGTGGGTTAGGTGTCCAAAATAAGGCATAGGATTTGCTCTTATTTTTTAAAAAGTTCTTTCTTGTACAAATTAACTTTCTCTCACATATATTCTCTAGAAGAGCAATTGAAAACTTTATTTCAAATTTTTTTGTTTTAATATTGACAATTACAGCAAAGCTAAACCTTATTTTGGACTGAAGAAACTCAATATAAAGCAACATCTTAGAAAAACTGGATTAAAAAGTTCTGCATTTAAAACTCTTCGAAGATTTAACAGTTTAAAGTATAAAATTTCAAAAATATGTTGCTCAAACATCCATCAATTTGATTATATGTGGTTAAATGCTATGTCTGGTCCATACTACTCTATGGCTTGGAATCTTGGACTTTAAAAATCCTAACAATGAATAAAATCGAAGCTTTTGAAAACTGGTGCTACAGATTCTGTAGACGGACCAAGTTTCAAATGAAGAAACTGTAACAAGATAAAGATACAGAACTCTCAAAAACTATCAAAATAAAAAAAACGAGTTATTGTGGTCATATCATCCGATGTCCAAAATATGAATTGCTGCAACGGATTGTGCAAGGCAGAATCGAAAACAAACACGGTATGAGAAGAAAACAATGTCTTGGTTGAGGAAGATGCGACATTGGACTGGGTTAAGGACAATTGGAGACTTGGTACGTACTGCTAGAGACAGAGAGAACTTCAAAAACATTTTTCATTTCTAAATTTCAGAAGGAAAATTTTGTATAGGTTATATGGGCGTTCTCAAGGTGACTAAAGTAATATTTCATAGTGAAAAAAAAGTTGTTTTTGGAAGAATGCATTCCCGTCTATGTAAGCGATTATATGGCGATGGTGCTGGGTATATATATGTCATATATAATTTTATTGAATTTTTAGTGAAACGTCTGTTTTGTTTTTATTTCCCGCCATTCTGTTTTTTTTGGGGGGGAGGTGTTAATTTATGCTTGGCTCTTCTTATGTTTTATTTCGAGGCAAATGTTTCAATTTGTTTCTGAAACTTTTTGCTGCAACAGGTTTTCCTTTTCTGCGCTGTACACAATTCACAATAGCACAATATTTTGCCGGTGCCTTCAACAGGTAAACAATTTCATTCATAGAAATTTTGCGCCAAAAGTTAACACATGCGCTTTAATTTCAAATGTTGCAGCAACATATATTCACCAGTTGTGCAACATCCAAAGGGAGGACACAAAATGTTGCGCCTTTTTCTGTAAACATAAATTGGGCGCAATTGAAATTTTGTTAGAACGCCAAGCAAGCAATTTATGGCTTTGGTAAGAACAGCACAGATCAGTTTGCGCGTTGGCTTCGTGTGAAACGTTACGGAATTCGCGGTGAACGGATTTTTCACACACCCCCACATTTTTTCACATTGAAGTTATCTTTACTTATAAATTAAATGTATTTAATTTAATTAAAAAAAATTAAAAAAAAATAATAATAAATAAATATTAGGATAAAGTTGCAAATTCAATGATAATTGCGTGTGTGTTTACTCGTGGATGTGCATAGAGACTCGTATATAAAACGGAAACGGATGTTACTCGGCAAGTGCAGTCAGTTTCAAATATTTGTGTTATTTTTGCTCTCAGATTTTCAATTTTGTGAATTTAGTTTTTGTATATGGAAATGTGAAGACCTTCACTAAAATAATTGCATTAGAAAATGTATTGCATGTCAGTTTCAAAAGGGTTTTGAAGATTCCCTTGTAACGTGAGTTCATTTACACAAATTTGTTATATGAGTGCGCAACTTAGATACTTTCTCAAAAAGATATTTTAATGATATGTAAATTTAATATTTGCTATAAAGCAGTTTCTTGTGCAAACTTACGATATAAAATACTTAAAGCAAACACTTGTCTTAATTATCAAAACTGCGGTATGTTGAAGGAATTTCGTTGAATGTAAGTTTGCTTTTGGAATATAATTTTTAAAATTTAGTTCATAAGTTGTGATGTTAATTAAAAAATATTGCATTTTTTTGCATTAATGATTTTGAAAATTTAGTGTGAGTTTTAATATTAATTTTAGTTATTTGGCATAATCAGAGATCATAATTGGCATAATCAGAGTTAATAATTGGCATAATCAGAGATCATAATTGGCATAACATATAAATAAATTTATTTATTTATTTTTTATTTATTTTATTTATATATTTCATTTTATTTTTTATTTATTTATTTTTGAAACTTAAATATTTAAATTTGGTTTGCGGTTGAAAAGATTTTTTTAAAAATTATTACTTCAAATATTCATTATTTTATGACGAAATGATTTTTAATATAGTGTTTTTACATTGTTTTGACCAATTAGCCTTTGAAAACATTATATTTTAATTATTACTTTAAAAATAATTAAATAATTTATTTATTTGGTATTTGGCAATACTCAAAACAGCTGTATGGTCAGCCAAAAATTCAATTAATTAAAATAATATAAAAAATAAAATTTTTGTTGTTGTAGTTCACTACTGTTCGAAAAAAACTTCTTTATAATTTATTTAGAAAATATCAATGTCAATAAAGGAATGAGTTTTAAAAAGCTATAATCAGTATTAGTTTGTTAACCCATTACTTAGTGATAGAACGATTAACTTCTGATAAATGACTTAGAAATGCATTCTCCGAAAAGTTGTAACAGTGTTAAAACAAATTTATCAGCTAAATAAAAAGAACACTTCTTGTTTTTTTCTCATATTTTCTAAAATAATATATTTTATATATTATAAAATACTACTACTACTATTGTCTTCAATAGTAGTGATGATGACTTGGCAGGTAGCCTCAAAACAAATGAGCTGTTTGAAATAACAAGGGATATAGTTATGCGAATGGAAACCACTATAGCTTTAACTCAATAAAGACATCCGAGAATCGAAGGACGAAAAAGAATCCAAGTCGTTTTCGTTAATCCTTTATTTTAGTGGAGCCATTTGTTGGACGGTGTGTCAAAGTCCCACAAAAAAAAGAAATTTGCCTTCAATAATTCGTCTAAATCTAACTCTATTTGGTGTTACGACATATATATGTCGTTTCATGTATATCGTGCTTCAGCTAGTTCACCCTCGACCGTTTTTCTTCACGTAGTCATTTCGGTTGAATTCATTAGATTTGTATCATGACGTGAATTTTGCACCTCCAAAACATATGTGCTTACTGCCGTAGCAGGGAAATTTGGGTTACCCTTGGCGCACTTAACCCATTAACGTTTTAATATAGGTCCTTAATATATGGTAAACCTGATATTATAAAATAATTATTTGGTATTGCTTTGAATACCGAAAATATTTTCAGATTGAAATCCTACTAACTCAATATCGGTGTAATTTCACAAGAAAAACAATTTTATTCCTATACCGAGTTCCTGAGAGTCAGGCACAATCTATGGTTATTATTTTATAAAACCCATTCAACGGGATCTACATATTCGATTGAGCAAAAATTATTTGGCATTTTACTATTTGCTCAGAAATAACCGTTAGTTGCATCTGGCAATTATTGTTCTATTTTACAGATGACCGAATGTTCATTATTGAAAAAAGATATTTTTGTTGAGGTTAGTGTTTCGTATAGTTAATGGAAAAAGAGGATTTTGAAACAACAATTCTGCATAATTTACAAATTTCCTGCGAGGAAATGAATAATGGGGCACTGACGTCTGGAAACATATATTTTATGTATGAAGCAGGTGCTTTTTTTTTGTTCCACAATTCAATGTATATTGAATGATAAAAGTTCACACAGCGTAAAACTATAAACCTATCAGCTTGAGATCTTTCTTAGTGAATCATGTAAAATCCTCCAAACTTATAGTAATAATAACTTATAGTAATAAGGACCTGAAGATTATCCTTCTTCCAAAATACAAATTTTATCTTCAGCTTCGAGATTTTTTTTATTTTTAAAGTGACTTTTCAATAAAATCTATTAATTATACTTTTATAATATAATAAAATTATATTACCTTCTTATGAATTTCGTGCCCTGAATTATTGAGATCTATTAATTTATTTATAATTTTTATTTATTTTAATGAGTGTAGTATCTAATATTTTACATATATTTTTTTTTTGTCGAATATACGAGTAAATTATCTTTGCATATCTGATTATAATTCATTCGTATTACTTATATGTATAATATTATATATTTCGTGAATATTTTTTTTTATTTTCTAAAATTCTGGTGATTTTTAGGTACTTTTGTACTTATTATACTACTAATATCCTACACAAATTAATTTTTTTATAAGCAGTTGTACTTCATTGAATTTACCAATAAGTTTTTACTTCCATGAAATTTAACAAATGATATTTTTATTCAATTAATGCAATTCACTTGAAAATTTACCCAATCAATCTAGAAAATATATGTAAATACATCCTTTCCCTGTTTTCAATTATTTACCATTTTTAAATAGGGTTTTTATGATTTTAATAACTTTCTAGAGTAGTTTTTGTATAATTTCCGGAAGCAACGAATTTTTTTTATCTCTATTAATTAATTCCTTCCTACTTTTTAAGGATTAATTTCAATATCTTTTTGCTTGTTTGAATGTTACTGTAGTCGCGTGTCACACACTTTAAAGTTTAAAATTTTGTATCTATCATAGCATACGGATTGCAAGTAGGATTAGGAGAAGTATGGTTGCCTAGGCGCTGTGGTGGTAGTGCGTCAAAAATGATTATCCGTAGGCATAATAGTGAGTGGGTACCGAAACAATATGATTGTTATTTTTAACTTTTCATGTATTGTTGAAAATAAATTGATGAGTTGAGAAGATGAGGGTCTAGAACATTTTTATTTTGCTCTTTCCATTATAAAACACTAAAAATTTTTAAAGTCTTGCTTTAAAAATTAATTATAAGGCGCACTAAATAATTTTGATTCCGAACGTCTTATAACCACGCGATATCACTGCCAATGAGTGTAGTACCTATTGTCCATTGGTAATTTTTTTTAAATTAGCTATAAATGAACATGTCGTTCAATTGGGTATAGATAGATAGATAGAATTTGAAAGGGTTGTCACACTTTCACCCATCCTTTGAGGATTATTGTGACTAACTCACTTTAGCTCTATAGGCCAAAATTATATCCTTTGGAGAGATGTTGGCTAATTCCGTTATAAGTGGATAGGCAGTTGATAATTACCGACGTCTGAGTCTGGCGAGACTTTCACAATGACACATAATGTGTTGTGCTGTTTACTCTTCTTCGTGACAACGTCTGCATCTGTCCTCTTTTGTAATAAATAGGTTCTATAGATGCTTTTTTAATTTTACAATGTCTAGTGAGAAACCCTGTGACAAGTCGAGTGCCTTTTCTGTTCCGCATTAGAAGCTCCATTTGGATATTGGTTGTAGGTCACTCAAGTTCGGAAAAAATCTAACATTCGGAAGAAACCCAGTGTATTAATTTTTTGAAAAAAAGCTTAAGTTCGGAAAATAAATCTTAAGTCCGTAAAAAATATTTTATTAATCTTTTATGTTATAAAAGTCACTAAAATCGGCAATTCTTAGCTGATTTTTATTAAAATCAAACCGAAAAAATAATCAATACTAGTTCTTACCAGTATAAAGGGATTATGCAATTGGATAATTCACGATCTTGGGTAATGAGGCCTGAAGTAACTGGGATAACATAGTAACAGCATAAAACGACAGCAACACAACAGATTTTGAATAAAGGCTGTTACCGCTTTGCGCTGTTAAAATGTTACTCGACTACCGAATACATAGTTTAGATTGTGAACACCCCTAATTTTTTTATTTTTTTTAGCAAACATATTTTTAATGAATTGTTCGCAGTAGAGGTATTGAATATTGTACGTTTGAATCTCGTTAAAATATAATAATAAAAAATAATAGATTTGATTTTGTCATTTTTAAAATTGATAGAGTTTTGAACATACATTGTCATCATTAAAAATTAAAAAAATTATTCATTATTATATATTTTGAAAATCGACAGTATTGTCAATTTTAATGTATGATTTGGCTTTCCCATTCTGAAACAACCTACGTATTTCTACTTAAGTAAAGAATTTTTAAATTTTCTTCATAGGTACCAAGATTTATATGGATATGCGAAGGCCAATTTCTGTACAAACATGACTCTTTGTTTATTTGTACATTTTATTCATTTGTTGTATTTAGTAAATATTTTACTGTGAAAAGTATTATTTTCAGTGGGTTTCATTATATTACATATATAAAGTCAACAACGTCAACTCTCATATCCTCTGTTTACTGTGAAAGTTCATATAAAAATGACAATTCTGCTTTACAATCCCGATGTCCTCAAGCGCCAATTTAATGATTCTGTTGTTCGAGAACTTTTTGTTTTCGAAATGCAATAATTTCATCAAAGATTATGTAGACCTTTAACTACAATAAACTTGGTAAATTTACATGACATCAATATAAAATATAAAACTGAAATCTTATTGGATCCAGTAGGTATTTGTGTACGTAGGAGTTGAAATATATCAAACTTTAAAGTTTAAAATGTTCGAAGGAAAAATATGCAATAAAAAGATTAATTTAAATTTAAATTTATAAATATTTTATTAATATATAAATAAAATTTAATTAAATTGGTTCTCATTACAATTTCATTTAATATGAGATCAATATGAATTTTCAGTAATGAAAACAATTTTTCGTATATGTACATATATTGTATTTTTTTTATAGTATGTTATATTAATTTTTAATGAAAAGCTGTCTATTGTGATATTAAGAAGCTATATATTTATGGTAGTTATAAAAATATATTTTTTATATTGCACAATATGGCTTATAGAGATACCTGGCAGCTTATCTGGCGCGATAATTATTTATTTTGTTTCTTATATTACATAGTATGGCATAAAGATTTGCTCATAGTATGGTATAAAGTTTATATTCTAGTCTGATGGTATATTGCAAATAAAAATTTATTCTGGACATCATTTGATAGGCCGATTAGGGTCAATTGTAAAAGAAAAATCACTTGAGGTCATACTAAGCAATTTTTTTAAATTTCATATAGTGACTTAGGCGAAAAGTATGTACATTGCTTGTTTAGTATTTTTTGAGATTTTGAGATCGTTATTTTAATTTATTTCATTTTCATTTCATTTTTATTTTAATATTAGTTTATTTTCATAGAGAGGTTTCGAAAAGTAGTGAACTATAACAACAAAAATTCTTTTAATATTATTTTAATTCATTGAATTTTTGGCTGCCCATACAGCTGTTTTGTGCATTGCCAAATACCCATCATTGAATCATTTCTTACATTTGTGCATTTAACTATTCGTAAATAATTTTTTGAGACTGCAAGTAACAAGTGTTGAACTCATACCCTGCCTGATTTGAAGCTCAGAGTCAGTTTTCATCAGCCAACTGATCAAGAGCCGTACTTGACTTGTACGTTCGCACTCTTTTCTGGAGTTTTGTAAATTTGCTGTGAAAGTTTATTAACAAATTCACTTTTTGTATTATATTATAACGAAATTATAAATTAGCTGTAGAATAAACGAGGTAATCAATTATATTTTTTATTTTTCAATTATTAAATTTCAATAATATTCTAATTTATTTTATTTAATTTTTATGTTATATTTTATTTGTTTTTATTTTATTTTTATTTCATTTTTATTTCATTTTTATTTCATTTTTATATTATTTTTGTTTTTATATTTATGTTGTTTTATTTTATTTTATTTTATTTTATTTTATTTTAAATTATTTTATTTTATTTTATTTTTTTTTATTTTTTATTTTATTTTATTTATTTTATTTTTATTTTATTTTGTTTTATTTTATTTTATTTTATTTATTTTATTTTATTTTATTTTATTTTATTTTATTTTATTTTATTTTATTTTATTTTATTTTATTTTATATTATTTTATTTTATTTTATTTTATTTTATTTTATTTTATTTTATTTTTATTTTATGTTCATTTAATTTTTATTTTATTTTTATTTTATTATTATTTTATTTTTATTTATTCTTTGATAAATTCAAAGATAACTTAGTTGTTTATTTTCAGTGATTTTAATTCGGTAAAATTTAATATTTCATAATTTAAGAAATGTTTAAAATATACTTTAAATTAATAAGAGCATTTATAATATTTCCACTTTATTAGTGTATTTCATAGTTAAAATTTATTAAGGTTTAATTGTGTGTTTATTATAATTTTATCATGTGGTATTTAATATATAAACTAATTGCCTTGTTTGCATATTTTTCACTGTTAATCGCTTAAAACTCTTTAGAATTGGTTTATATTTAGTTGGAGTCTTCTTAAGAACTTAAGCTGTTAATCTCTTTTAAAGAAACATGAAATAAATTTCTACTTAATATATTGTAAGCTCTTATGTGTTGTATTGGGATAAAATTTAAATATTTAAATGTAAATTGATACGTTTTTCATTTCAAGTTAAATACCCTAAAGTGTTTTTTCTTAATATACAATATAGTATAAATATTGGACATGTGTGAAAATAATACTATTCAAACGATAATCAATTTTACTTAATGCTTTCACCATTATTTACAATGTGTGGTCTGAAGCTCATGTCTAATACTTTGAACTTTAGCACCAGAAGGCGTAATTTCAAAATTCTGCACCTTAATCCTGTCTAGCTAGGCGGAGACGTTAAAATCTTTAAATCGTTTTGACAATAAAATGTATTAATAATTTATAGACTTTAACAAATGCTTAGCTGTGTAAATTTTTTAAATGCCTTGATTTATTGCAGTGCTGAGCACATAGAATTTTACTTAAATAGAAGTAAAATTTTTTATGCCAAGTTACTTTGACCCTAAACGTTTGGTGTAGTTTAAATTGCGCAAATTGGCTTAAAATAGCTGGAACATTTGTTGAATTTGTAGGCAAAATAAAAATATAAAAACTCATAAAAAATTCTCTATATAAGAACACTCGCTAAAAAATTCCAAAATTCCAAAACAACAAAAAAAAAAAAAAATATTAACATAAATTTACAATTACTTTGAATTTAGAA